CCCCCCCCCCCCCCCCACCGCACACCACATTACTGCATTTCACTCCACTCAAGCGGCCCGCCTCCCAATCACCGCGAACACCGCGTCACCACCTGTTCAGTGCTCGTTGTCCGTTGATCGTTTCCAGTCTATTCTATCCACAGACTTCTATACTACACTAGATAAGGAACTCTTATACAATGCACATTGTTACAAGTGAAGCTCAGCTGTGAACGGCCGCCATTTTCTCGGTTGGCAAAACATTTCATTTATTATACAAAATGTATTAGGAATAATATTTTTTTTAACGGTCAAATAAAATAGTAAATGTAAAATGACTTATATAAAATATTTTTTTTTTTTGTAAACTTAATGTTTAAAAATAATAAAATACGATATAAAATAAATCATAATATCATCTTATTTGTCATATGAAATACCATACAATTGCCAACCGACCTTGAAGCTTCAATTCATGACCGGAGTTCGCTATCTAGTAATATATAGAAATCTGTGATTCTATCTTAGTTAGATAGTGCTTTTATCCGTTACGAATTTTCAAACAAGTAAACAACGGTTGATAAGCAATATCAGAAATACAACCGTGATTTCAATTTTTAAATAATATTATTCAAAATATAATATAACGTAGTATAATAATATAATATACAAACATGAAACAATAATTAGGTAATAATAATGATATTCTTCACGTCATGACAGCTAGTAGCTACTTTTATCTATAGATATTAGATTCTAAGTGCCTCCTCCAAAATACTGGATAATAATGGAAATTGACGAAGACTTAAGTGTTATAGAAGCAGATCCAAGTAAGTCTACATCTACTACAATGACACTGAAATATATTATAAGTCATTATATTATATCAATGCTGAAAGTATGTTTATAATATTAACTGGAGCTCAGAGTTATATGTTTTGTTCAGTAAAAATATTGTAAATATGCCTATAAAAATCATATCTTATTTAGCATTCAACTTAAAAACTACATATAAACTAAATACCTCTGTATTGTCTTATGTAAACTTTTTTTTTTAGTTTCACCAGAAGTATCATCTGAGTCATTCGGTGATATATCCTGTATAACTAACGGTTAGTTACATTTGTATATTATATACTATATTATAGTATGGTATCTATTAAGATATATTGTTATTCTTATGACTTTATCATCTTATTAATAAATAATATTGCATGTGTATTGTTTTAGATGATAAAGAAAATGAAAATGTTGAAGACCCGCATTCAATTGAAACCGACGAATCTGATCAGGAAGATGGTAATTATTACTATTTGCATTTAAGATCCCAAACTATTCTCTGTAAACAAATAATCTGTTCAATAACCTTAATAAATTTACATTTATTGTGTGATGGCTAATAATAAGAATTAAGAATCCTTGACTCTCATCTCTCTTTTTCGTAACTGGAATACCACACTTAGTGCTTAGCACCCTATGTCTTACATTTAATTTATATGGACAGAGATTAACTCAATATTACAAATTTGGAATGAGTAACTGACAAAATGCTCAAGTAGAGGTAAATAATATAAAAAATTATCGCGAGGAAATAAGAAAACAAGGTTTAAGGAAAATAGATTTTATCAGTGAATCAAGTGATCAATTTCATTATTTATCATTCATTAAAGAAATATTTTTTTACTAGAAATTTTTAGTAAAAAACAAATTGTGAACATAAATTATTAATGTTTAGTAGAAAGTCAAACCCGCATGTGTTGTCTCCGTCTTAATGTATTATAAATGTACAATATAGCAAAAACTTTTTTGCTCTGGGAAATTTTACTCTTCATAGTAGAATTACTAAAAGTCAAATAGTTTTTATAATTAAATGAAAAAAATAATAAAAATGAGAGTGCGTAAGCTCACCATTACACTCTGGGGAAGTAAAACTTCTTTCATAATTATTGGGGCGCGTGAAATTATATGTGAATTAGGGTGAGAGTGAGAAAAATCAATACAATAATAATAAACGAGCATGCCTCCGCCGCCATGTATGACTTGCAAAATAAATAAATAAACGTCGTTTTTTTTTCCACACCTCGAAAAAGAAGTTTTACTTCAAAAGGTGGACAAGTTGGTACTGCTCTGCTGTACAGTAATGGATGTGTTATATTTGAATACAATAATAAACCATTGTATACGAAAAACGATTCTGAGCAGTTAGTGTAGTCCTTATAATATTATTATTTTTTATTTGTTACTATGGTGATAAAAAAGGTGTCGTTTCATTTTTCGTTACAATCTTTTTTCCACCCACACCTCAAGAAAGAAGTTTCACTTTAAAAAACAAAAAAAACTTAATGTTCTTAAACTCATAACTTTAAATGTATTTATGTTATCTGAAGAATAAAAACACTACTATTAAGGTAGCCACACACGGTCCGGTTAGCCTGTCAGTTTTGCCTGCACAGGCCGCCGGAGACCGGTCGGCCGGACTGACGTCAGCGCCCCCATACGTTCCGGCGAATCTGTCCGGCCGCGGCAAGTTTTATATTGTATTTGGCCGGACGGCCGGAACCCATACACGTTTCAAACGCCTGTGCAGTCCCGCAGTCGGCCGGATGGACGAACGAGTTTTCATATTTTCTCCGGTGGCCTGTACAGATATAACTGTTCAGGCGACCGGAACCCACAAACGCAACGGCCGACCGGTCTCCGGCAGCCTGTGCAGGCATAACTGACAGGCTGACCGGACCGTGTGTGGCTACCTTTACACAGATAAAGTTCTTTCCTATGCAATGTGGAGTATTAATAATTCTACAATAAATACAGAGGGAGTAAAATTTTCCCGCGCTAAACAGTCTTTGCTATGTTCTACATTTGTAAGACGGTGGCAACACATGCGGGTGTAACGTCCTCTAAATTCTGAGACCATTGGCCATCCCAAAACACTTTATCAGGACACTGGGGCAGTAGATGTATAGCATCCTTATTGTAAATAACATTTTCAAGTCTTGATTTGCAGTAATTTAGATTTTGTTATCTTATTTGCATTACAGTTACAATGTCAGAATCAGAGTCAGGAATAGTTGATTCAAGTTTTGATCCAACTGCTCTTATAGAAATATCTGATATACTCGGTAAGGCATAAAAAATTATGAATATACACTAAAATTAAATCTTAATTAACAGACACACCAACTGATTTTTAATTTATTATGAGTGTTTACTAAAAGAAGATTTCACAATCCATGTGTAATGCAGTGGCGGATATATCCTAGTTCTGAAGAGGGGGAGTGCGAATTTCAAATCCACAGAGGGAATGACGTTCAACCCCTCCCATGGGGTGGTCCGCAGGTGATGGCATGTATGGCCCAAGGGAAGTGCGGTCCACCAATTACCCCCCCCCCCCCAATATCCGCCACTGGTATAAAGTAATGTATATTTTTATTTTATTTATTAATGTTATATTTAATGTAGATCTTGTTGGAAAAAATTGGTCAATATTCCGTGTATCTCCATTATGGAATTTGAATTTTGATACAAACTATTTAAACTTATTATCTAAAAAGTTGAAGAAATTTTTAATAAATCATATATCTACCAATATGAAGAACCAAAAGAACTCTTTCTCGGAAATCTCTGTAGAAATTGAAGCAAAAGAAGCACATCATGAATGCATTGCATTAAAGGTAATAAAATAAAATTTTAAATATCACAGCATTAAATTCTTTTAACTATATTAAATTAATTTATTATTGGTAAATTTTATTATCTGTTTTAATTACTTAATATAATATTACATTCTAAATAATAATGTTATCTCATAAATTAGGACTACTTAGGAACTTAATATATAGGTATTGAACATAATATTAAAGTTGTATAAGTACTGTTCAAGTTTACTAATTACTCTTTAGATAGTATAGATTTTATAGATATATTATGCTGAATAAAAAAAAAAATTAAACTTTTCATGTAATTTGTTTGTTTCTATAAGAAAATATATATTTATAATATTGTATTATATAAATTAAAATAGTATAACATTATAATATAATTACACAGAATTTTACAGTTATTAAAATTTCTAATATTACTGTTTTAAAATATTTTAGAATGTATTTTATTTATATACCAACTACTGTTTATTCTTATAAGCTGCCAGTAGATAATCAGGAATTTCAAAAAAAAAAAAACAAATCATTGTAAAATCAATACATTCATTGTTCCACTCAGAATCTTAAATAACAGATTTTTAAAAATATAATTATACATGTAATAATTAAATAATACAGTATTTTGTACATATTATGTACCTAATATGATATAATTTTGTATATGTATGTACATTTTAGTGAATGAAAATAAATCTATGTATCTGTAGTGTGTTGATTTAATACATTCAAATAAATCTTGTTACATCAAATTTTTTAGTTTATGCTATTGAGTATTAATTACAAACTTTCAATAAACCGAATATTTTTCTCGGTTCCTTGAAATTTAATATATTGTAAGTTTATTAAATATTTACAAAAATTTAAAAAAAAAACCACAACCAATATTTACTCAATCTAACCTATTATATGAAATCATTTTATTTTACTGTACTATACTATTGTTTTGTTTTTTTACAGATTAATGTTATCAACAATAATACTAATTCAAAACTTTATACTGGTTTGCTATTAAAGTCACCGAATTATGAACAAAATTACGATAAAAATAGTTTATCTGATATGCCTATATTAATGATACAAGGAAATAAATCATTTTCAGTAGCCATACATAATTGGTTAACTGAACATTTTGATTGTGTCATTCGGCCATATGAATTTGCTTTATATCAATTTCTATGGCTTATTGCTATATCGATGGGCGATGCAGGACAATTATACAATGAAACAGTTTTATACCACTATCTTTATAAAAATGAATCATCAAAGGGTCAAATGGATGTAAAATGTTATGCCGAATCAGAGTTCCTTCGATCAGTTCTAGCAAAGTTAGTATTTTAAAATTATAATTTCATCATACAATTGTATTCAAATATAAATTATACTAGACTATATTCTTTAAATAGAAAATAATTTATTTCTACCATATGGTCAAGATTTGATTCACTTAACAAAAAGCTTTTTATTTTAACCTTATTTATTTTAGATACTGAGCGAAATGAGGAATATAATTGTTTTACCATGTTGTGTGTTATTTTTTATTTTTGGCTGATAATATTTTATAGCAAATTCTTTGTTCTAATCTTCAAAATTGAGGGTGGTTTATGGCAGTGGTTCCCAATTGGTGGTCCACAGACCCCCAGGGGTCCGTGTGTTGGTTTTAGGGAGTTTATGGTTGTGTAGTACTGTATAGTGATTTTTTATTTTTATTTTATTTCAGTGAAATTATTAAACTTGTAGTCATTTGGAATTCCGGGTATTTTTGGACTATTGAAACTTGATTGACTGAGAAAAAGGTAGATAATTAATTTATTCAAATTGAAGAGTAAGTATTTACAAAAGAGCGGTCCCCAGGACAAATTAAGTTTTAGCTGGGGGTTCGGTACTAATTGGGAACCACTGGTTTATGGTATGAAGAGCGGGGTGCGTCAACCTTTATTTGCTTTTTAATTGTAATTTAGAAAGGACTAATTGCAGATTTTAAATTTTTACTTAATAGATACTTATATTAACATTTTCTTCTAATAGAATTTTGGTTCTTTTAAAAAAATCCCGGAAAAAAAAAACAATTTTTAAAAAATTAAAAATATATTAATTGATTTTTAAAATTAAAAAAATATTAAGGGTTATCAAATATTAATAGTATCAAAAATGCTAGGAAAATTATTTTTGTGTTTCCAATAGTATGGTTTATTGAGCGGTTTGAAAGTAAAAACACCTACTATCAATAATGTAGATAATAACTAATCTATGCTTGTTTAAAAGTAAATTTTCAATATTTTAATTACTTAACTCACTAATTAAAATTCAAAAAGTAAAGTATCACAAGTCTTAGAGCTAATTATGACATTGAAAATAAAATATCAAAAATCGACTCATACATAACATACTTCGATTACTATTAATTCATTTTTTTTTAAACTTTTTTATTATATTTGGATGTATATCAAATGGTTTATAAAATATTTTGTGTAGGAATAAGAACCAAGCATTTATGTGAATGTATAGACAATTATCAGTTTGACTTATTAGCTTCTTTGTAGGTTTGTAGTCAGTGGCGTCCGCAGGGGGGGGGGGGCTAAAGGGCTAAAGCCCCCCCCCATTACCCGTATTATTATTACTTTTTCAAAAAAATATCAATCAAGTTAAACTCTCAATTATAGTAAACAAGACGTAAATTTCAAATATGTCTTACCAGAATGAATTCATTTTTGAAAAAACATTGTATTTGTAACATACCAATTTTCATAAATTATCTGTAATTTTTCTGTAAAAGTATGAACTATTTGTATGAAAGACCTTGTATTAAATTGTCTAGCCTTACCTGTACACATTTAATATTTTATAAGTTTTGAGCTACAAATTAACTGTGGTTTCGACGAAATTTGAACTTTAAATGCTTATAAAAAATAAGCATGATACCTATGTATCGTTAATATTTTAGCTATAATAAAAAAACTTACGTATTACATTTTTAAGCTTTTTGACCGGATAAATAATATTTTATTGACATTTATAGAAAACAAAAATTTAATTATTCAAATACAATCCATGTGAAGACGGTATAACCAAACATTTAAATAAATTTTCATTTTTTTTCTCAAATTATTTTTAAAAGCACTGAGCATTTTCAATTTCAACCTCCTAATAGTACCAACTAGATCCAATTTGCTTCCAAAAACATACACTGATCATCGGAGCTTATGATCAAAGCATTTTTTCTACCAGAAAAGTTGAAAAGTTACAAACATTTTAAAATACCTCAAATAAACGTCTAAAATTATTAGACTGGACAAAATGAAAAGAAAATTGTAACTAATTTTCAAGCCCCTCCCATTGAAAAATCCTGCAGACGCCACTGTTTGTGTAGTATTACCGGTTAATTAAGTAATAATAATTTGATATTTATATTTCTTGTTTTGTGTGATAACCATTGAATAGGTTATTTTTTAAATTTTAAAAAATTGTTCTTTTTTCTGATTACATTTTTAAGCTATGTACTGGGTGATTATTTTATCATCTTTCATCATTTCAAAAACTAAATATTTTTTTGATGTAAATCTTAAATTTGTTACATAACATTAAAACAATATTTTTCCAATTTTTATTGTTATCATTTCTTAATTTATTTTTACTTTATTGAATGACAACATACATTTTTATTTTTGTTCCAAAGCTGAATATTTTTAGTGTACTTTGATATATTTAAATCAAACTTTGGACAACTAGTTTATGAGTTTATCTTAGCACTCGGAAACCGACATGATTTAAAAAAAAACTATGTTTCAAAAACTTTCGTAATTTTACTCTCCGTCTTGGGGTATCACACAGCAAAACAGTGCAATTTCAGTGCTAAATAAGCAGTCAGGTTATGCAGTGGTTGTGGCAGTTTTTTTTTAACTGCATTCATGTGTGCCTGGCTGAGGGATTATAATATTTTCTTCAATATAATATGTTTTTGCCAGTAATAATGTGAATATCTATTTTATGAAACTACTGATTCATGTAAAATTTGGGGTGACTCATGTACAATTAACTTATAATTTATGTACTTTTAATTTTTATATATTGAGTTTGGTGGTTAGCCATCGCCCATTGCTATTAACACTGGAACAATAAAATTGGTGGGTGGGTACTTATTTAAAAGTCTCTTCATAGAAAAAAAAAATTCACGCTACCACTTGTTTTCTTTAAATTATAACGGTTTCCAAGTGCCAAGATGAACTTGACTGGTTTTATTAGTATTTAAAGTTTTGCTAGTAGTGTAGAGTGGCACAAGAGTATCTCTCAAAATGTTCGTTTACTTATTACTTTGCTTATCTATACTTTAAATACTTATAAGATAGTTATAACTAATTAAGGGCCCTTATTACAATAGTCGATTACGCTTGACCCACTGATTTTACCGGCCGAATTCCGAGGTTTAACCTAAGATCAAATATTATACCCTTGGGCCCTAACTACTGTTTGTCAGAAATTTAATTTTAATATATCAAAATACTCAAAAGAATATTCCGCTTCAGAATACACACAATAAAATAGTATTTTCTGCTCAAAATTGTTTTCTACATAATATTCATTATTGAATTGAGCACACCATCATCACTGAAGTAGGACTTACTCGATGCACTCTTGAATTCTACACTGTAGATCATGTGATAGTTTTATTTTGTATTAAAACAAATTATATAATTCACAGACTTTCATTGAATCGGTCCTCTTCTGAAGCTACTTCGTTTCATTATTCAGATTTAATTAAAGTTCAATCTGATATAGAGGACCATTTTAAAATAACAAGTGGAATAAATGTATCAAAATTAAAATTGAAAGCATTTGAAGCTCCTAAAGTTGCATCAATTAATGTTTCTGGAAAAGTGGGTTATTTTATTTAATAAATAATGAATAAAATGTTTGTTTAAATTTAAATTTTTTTTTTTTTAGATACATGTTTGGTCATCCACACTTATCGATTTAATGTTAAAATATCTTATGGAACTACAAAACAATAAATGGATGCCTTAAAGATAAAAGTACAAAAAAAGTATGCAAGATTTACATATTATGTTATAAATTGTTTCCGAGCATATTAATACTTTTTATAATTATTTTAATTAACTGATGGAATTAAAGTTATGTTTATTATTTATATCAAGAAATTTTTTTTTTAATTTTTACCAAACAATTTCCCATTGTTTTTATTTACTTTCTTTTTAACAAGATAATTACATACTATACTCTGTTCAAAATAAGAAACCTAGACGGCGCGGCGGTCAGACTATGCCCATTGTTCTCCCCACCAAATCAACCATCGGCTCACCAGCTCGGCCGACTACGCGCGACGCAGCTGGTGGCAGGTTTTCACTTGTACGCGCCTTTCCGTTGAATTTCAAATAATATTGTTTTAAGTTATGTGTTCATGTCACTTATCAAAGATAGACTAATGAGTCGCTCCCGCCGAAGCGCTGAGGTGACATTGATTTATATCCGTGCTATTAGTCTAGCCACGCCCCAGCGCAGTAGCTGGCCGCCGTCTAGGTTTCTTATTTTGAACAGAGTATAGGCATGTTCGCTATACAATTGAGGATTGATTGTGTGCTTACTATCATGTTGAATAATAATTAATAACCATGAAAAAGGTTGTCCAAACTAGACCTGATTTTTACTACTACACATTAACCTCTCCTCATATATCTGCTTGTGGTTCACACACTAGTGTGTATGAATAATAATTTCTAATAAATAGGAACTACTCTCATTTGATCATCCTTACGAATGGTGTATGAATAGATATCTTAAAATATCCATTGAAGTACAGTAACTAACAATAGAATAACTTTCATTTACACTTACAGCATTATAATAATCAATCTATTTCAAATGTATATTTGACAGTCAATAGTGCTAATAGATCCTAAGGACACCAATTGGCATTTTAACGCAGTCAACGCATTAAGAGGATGCTACCATGCATGTTGTCTCTGTATTACAAACATACATTTTGAGTTCAGCAGAACCAATTTCCTGTTGGCTTAAATATTAGAGTGAATATCAAACTTAAAGAGAAGATCAATATTTTTGCTTAAGCTTTGTCATTTTTTTAAGCGAAACGAGTATTTTGAATTTACGATATTTCACACTCATATCTTGCTTGAAAACTAAAATATTCATTCTTATATTTAAGCCAATTTTAAAATTGTTTCTGTTGAATTCAAATTTTTTATATTCTACTTTAGAAAGATGGAGACTATGCTTCCTTTTAAGCTAGTTCGTATATTTTAATACATAATGAATGAGCTTATGTTGTACTACATACTGTTGGATATGTTCATTTAAATGCCTCGAGTATAAAACATTAAAACACTAGCATTATTTATTTGAAAACCAAATTTTAACAAATTGAATAGCATATAAACAAGGGAATAATATTTCATGAGTATCTTAATTCTTATTAGCTATTTTAATTACCTTAAAAATAGTTTTTCAAAATATATAAGAGATTAAACATTTATTGTGACTAACTTGTACATCAATCAAATTAATATAATGAGGCATATTAAATAATAAGATCTAAGGGCATTAAATGATTAACAATACATTATTTAGTATTTACACAAAAAGTTAAAACCATAGTGATAATTATGCGTTCAGTATCAAAAGTTAAATTAAAGTAAATACAACATGTAATTATATAACCATTATAAAAAATTAATTTTCAAATTTTAAATTACAATGACAACATAAAAAAAATCAATTTTTATGTTATGTTAATTATCCGAATTTAAAACATAGTATTGTTAGTAAAATACATTAAGTGTACACTTTTAAACTTTGAATACTGATCGCGTGTATAAGATAATATAAATATAGTAAAACAGTTATATTCTAACAAATAAAACTTTTAGGAATAAATAAATTAAGTTCCTAAGCTAAGGGTAAACGTAAAATTAAATAAGATAATATAGAACTATAGAAGTAAAGTGTATAAGAATATTTTTTTTAATTATTTATGGGTTATACATTTATGACTTAAAATATTTTTACAACCAAACCATCATCATATAAGTACCAATAAGTAATTTAATTATATAAATAGATATATTCGCAACACTAATTTCAATGGTATAGAGCTTGGTCTATTAATAAATATTGAATACAATTCACTCAAAAAAAAAAGAAGTATAACCCACGTGGAAAGCAATAATATCAAAATTGCAAATTTATTATTATTTAGTTGACCTTCAAAACTAGTTAACAACAACCATTGCCATTGGATCGATTATTTCCGCCAGGTATACTGTTGTTACCAGTTGAATGTTGTGGTCCAATTTTAATACCATTTGCCTAATAAAAGTAAATAGAATATGACAGTATAAATTAATATTTTCCAATTAATAGATAATTCCCAAATAACTCGATTAAAATATAACTGACCTCATTATTGATATCGAATACTCCCTCTTGAATTTTTTCATATATTTCTTTAGCAGTGTTTATAAAGGCTTCTTCTACATTATCAGAAGTTTTAGCAGATGTTTCCATAAATACCAATCCATGTTCTCGAGCAAATGCTTCACCTTCTTCTTTCTTGACTTCCCGTTTCGCTTCCAAGTCACTAAGCACATTAGTCAATTAATCCAAATTGACTAAAATTTTGCTGTTTAATATATTACCTTTTGTTGCCAATTAGCATAATGACCATGTTGGAATTGGAATGTTGTCTAGCGTCTTCTAACCACGTTGTCAAATGATTGAAAGTGTCTCGACGAGTGATGTCATACACCAATAATGCACCAGCTGCACCACGATAATAAGACCGTGTGATAGATCGGAAAGCTTCTTGGCCAGCGGTGTCCCATATTTGCAACTTGATGGGTTTGGTCTCGATGGCCACCAAACGTGCACCAAATTCGACACCTGGAATTAATTTGCGTTAAAAACCTATGATTATGATTATTATTATTGATAAAAATGTATGTAACCGATGGTCAGATCGTGGACGGGCTGGAATCTCTTGTCAGTGAACTGCAACAGGAGACACGATTTGCCCACTCCTGTAACATATGCCAGTTTAGGATTATACGTGGCTGAAGGGTTAGCCATAGCAGTCAACAAATACCCACTAACCTGTGTCTCCGATTATGATGTATTTAAACAGGTACGCGTAAGACATGGTGATGCGTAGTAGCAATGGATTATCAAGAAACCGTGAGCTGCGAACACTGAATGACCTGGACACACTTGTGATCGAATTAAAAATTAAGACGACGACTGCCTATATTATACACAATAAAACAACAAAGCTATTAGGAATCGCGTAAGACTGTTGCACGCGCAAGTGTGTGTTTGTGTAAGATAATTTTCGTAAAACGTAATTGATGTTGATCACAAAGCCATACGATTCATTTTATATTTATACTGTAGTTGTATTGTTGTTGTAAGTAAACGTAACGAATACGCATAATAATAATAATAATGATAATGATAATAATATTACGTGTGTGAAGTTGGGTGACCAAAGCTAGGTGACTATTTTTTTCGGGCGGCTAGTGATAAGAAACCTTGCACGTTGTGTTGCATTCTTTAAATTTCAAGGGTGCCTTCTATTGCATCGAAACTATAAAGTAGATGTCGCCCTATGACATTTAATAACTATTTATTTTAAAAGTATATAAATAAATAATAAATTCTATTGGTGTCATTACCACGATAATTATACCGAAACCATAACTATACCGAATTATACAAATCAATAATAATTTAAAGTTAGGTTATAAATTGCCCTAATTTCGAAGACATGTTCTAACAAATGAACATTGTACTTTTGCAGTTTACATTAACAAATTAAAAGTGTAAACTATTTAACGATGTCATTTGTTAGAGATCACATTCTACGGAAACAGGTAAGTTTACGTTATGTTAATTGTTTTTATTTAAATTAATTATGTAATATTGTGTTTATCTATCCACATACTGAATGGTAGTGTCTATGCAAACGAAAAATAGGCAAAACTCTATGTATTTGATTTTTTTTTATTTTTCCGGCAGTGTTCCAGAAGGAGTCGAAGGACCTAACATAGATATTCGGAAAGCCAGGAAAATTTACTATCCGACGAGATAAATTTCAAGAGCTCCCTGGCTTTTTAAGTAACCGTACTTAGTGCACGAAAGTGCCAGGTGACTAATGCCGGTATGACGTGAAACGTATACGCGCGTCTGGTGAACAATGCCGGTAGGACGCGAAACGTATACGCGCGCGTGGTTTTTGATTTTTCCGGCAGTGTTCCGGAAAGAGTCGAAGGTCCTAACATAGATATTCGGAAAGCCAGGAAAATTTACTACCCGACGAGATAAATTCCAAGAACCACCGGGCTTTCTAAGTAACCGTACTTAGTAAACGAAAGCGCCAGGTGACTAATGCCGGTATGACGCGAAACGTATACGCGCGCGTGGTTTTTGATTTTTCCGGCAGTGTTCCGGAAGGAGTCGAAGGACTTAACATAGATATACGGAAAGCCAGGAAAATTTACTACCCGACGAGATAAATTCCAAGAACCACCGGGCTTTCTAAGTAACCGTACTTAGTAAACGAAAGCGCCAGGTGACTAATGCCGGTATGACGCGAAACGTATACGCGCGCGTGGTTTTTGATTTTTCCGGCAGTGTTCCGGAAGGAGTCGAAGGTCCTAACATAGATATTCGGAAAGCCAGGAAAATTTACTATCCGACGAGATAAATTCCAAGAACCACCGGGCTTTCTAAGTAACCGTACTTAGTAAACGAAAGCGCCAGGTGACTAATGCCGGTATGACGCGAAACGTATACGCGCGCGTGGTTTTTGATTTTTCCGGCCATGTTCCGGAAGGAGTCGAAGGACCTAACATAGATATTCGGAAAGCCAGGAAAATTTACTATCCGACGAGATAAATTCCAAGAACCACTGGGCTTTCTAAGTAACCGTACTTAGTAAACGAAAGCGCCAGGTGACTAATGCCGGTATGACGTGAAACGTATACACGCGTCTGGTGAACAATGCCGGTATGACACGAAACGTATACGAGCGTCAGGGGACTAATGCCGGTATGACGCGTAACGTAAAGGCGCGCGGGGTTTTTGATTTTTCCCGAAGTGTTCCGGAAGGAGTCGAAAGACTTAACATAGATATTCGGAAAGCCAGGAAAATTTACTACCCGACGAGATAAATTCCAAGAACCACCGGGCTTTCTAAGTAACCGTATTTAGTAAACGAAAGCGCCAGGTGACTAATGCCGGTATGACGCGAAACGTATACGCGCGCGTGGTTTTTGATTTTTCCGGCAGTGTTCCGGAAGGAGTCGAAGGACTTAACATAGATATTCGGAAAGCCAGGAAAATTTACTACCCGACGAGATAAATTCCAAGAACCACCGGGCTTTCTAAGCAACCGTACTTAGTAAACGAAAGCGCCAGGTGACTAATGCCGGTATGACGCGAAAAGTATACGCGCGCGTGGTTTTTGATTTTTCCGGCAGTGCTCCGGAAGGAGTCGAAGGACTTAACATAGATATTCGGAAAGCCAGGAAAATTTACTACCCGACGAGATAAATTCCAAGAACATCCGGGCTTTCTAAGTAACCGTACTTAGTAAACGAAAGCGCCAGGTGACTAATGCCGGTATGACGCGAAACGTATACGCGCGCGTGGTTTTTGATTTTTCCGGCAGTGTTCCGGAAGGAGTCGAAGGTCCTAACATAGATATTCGGAAAGCCAGGAAAATTTACTATCCGACGAGATAAATTCCAAGAACCACCGGGCTTTCTAAGTAACCGTACTTAGTAAACGAAAGCGCCAGGTGACTAATGCCGGTATGACGCGAAACGTATACGCGCGCGTGGTTTTTGATTTTTCCGGCCGTGTTCCGGAAGGAGTCGAAGGACCTAACATAGATATTCGGAAAGCCAGGAAAATTTACTACCCGACGAGATAAATTCCAAGAACCACCGGGCTTTCTAAGTAACCGTACTTAGTAAACGAAAGCGCCAGGTGACTAATGCCGGTATGACGCGAAACGTATACGCGCGCGTGGTTTTTGATTTTTCCGGCAGTGTTCCGGAAGGAGTCGAAGGTCCTAACATAGATATTCGGAAAGCCAGGAAAATTTACTACCCGACGAGATAAATTCCAAGAACCAACGGGCTTTCTAAGTAACCGTACTTAGTAAACGAAAGCGCCAGGTGACTAATGCCGGTATGACGCGAAACGTATACGCGCGCGTGGTTTTTGATTTTTCCGGCAGTGTTCCGGAAGGAGTCGAAGGACTTAACATAGATATACGGAAAGCCAGGAAAATTTACTATCCGACGAGATAAATTCCAAGAACCACTGGGCTTTCTAAGTAACCGTACTTAGTAAACGAAAGCGCCAGGTGACTAATGCCGGTATGACGTGAAACGTATACACGCGTCTGGTGAACAATGCCGGTATGACACGAAACGTATACGAGCGTCAGGGGACTAATGCCGGTATGACGCGTAACGTAAAGGCGCGTGGGGTTTTTGATTTTTCCCGAAGTGTTCCGGAAGGAGTCGAAAGACTTAACATAGATATTCGGAAAGCCAGGAAAATTTACTACCCGACGAGATAAATTCCAAGAACCACCGGGCTTTCTAAGTAACCGTATTTAGTAAACGAAAGCGCCAGGTGACTAATGCCGGTATGACGCGAAACGTATACGCGCGCGTGGTTTTTGATTTTTCCGGCAGTGTTCCGGAAGGAGTCGAAGGACTTAACATAGATATTCGGAAAGCCAGGAAAATTTACTACCCGACGAGATAAATTCCAAGAACCACCGGGCTTTCTAAGCAACCGTACTTAGTAAACGAAAGCGCCAGGTGACTAATGCCGGTATGACGCGAAACGTATACGCGCGCGTGGTTTTTGATTTTTCCGGCCGTGTTCCGGAAGGAGTCGAAGGACCTAACATAGATATACGGAAAGCCAGGAAAATTTACTACCCGACGAGATAAATTCCAAGAACCACTGGGCTTTCTAAGTAACCGTACTTAGTAAACGAAAGCGCCAGGTGACTAATGCCGGTATGACGTGAAACGTATACACGCGTCTGGTGAACAATGCCGGTATGACACGAAACGTATACGAGCGTCAGGGGACTAATGCCGGTATGACGCGTAACGTAAAGGCGCGCGGGGTTTTTGATTTTTCCCGAAGTGTTCCGGAAGGAGTCGAAAGACTTAACATAGATATTCGGAAAGCCAAGAAAATTTACTACCCGACGAGATAAATTCCAAGAACCACCGGGCTTTCTAAGTAACCGTACTTAGTAAACGAAAGCGCCAGGTGACTAATGCCGGTATGACGCGAAACGTATACGCACGCGTGGTTTTTGATTTTTCCTGCAGTGTTCCGGAAGGAGTCGAAGGTCCTAACATAGATATTCGGAAAGCCAGGAAAATTTACTACCCGACGAGATAAATTCCAAGAACCATAACATAATTTATTATTATATAAGAGAACAGGCCTTTTTTATGTTCCAATTTTTTTTTCACAGAGTTGTTCCAAATACCTTCCTGAGTGTCAGCACGTCACCCGATTTTCTTATTTTATCGGTTTGGTAGGTACCGAAAATGGTTGAAGAATATTGAGTTCATTTTTAATTCAAATATTTTGTAGTTTTGTACATTGCCAGTATTTACAGCCTTTCCAGTTTGTTTTGTACATATTATTATTTATTATTTATTAATTAAAGACTCAAACATTTCATATCGTCATATAAATATGGTATATTTATTTAAAAAAAGAGTAATTTGGTGGTGTGCTTTGCCCCCCGCGCCTCTATTTTCTGAAATTAACTGGACCCTCCCCATGACAAATTCCTAAATACGCCACTGGGGAGATTTAAATTAGCTTTAAAAATATTAAAATATGTAAACAATTATGACGGCGTACACTGTACAGTGACTACGGAGAGGCGACGTTGCATATTATATTATAATTGTCGTGAATCCACTTTCAATGGCGCGTATGATACGCGGATTTTTCTCCCCAGCCACTCGCCGATAACATTATGATTGAAATTACTGTCGGGCGGCAGTTTCACTAAATCCGTCGACCGTCGACCGAATTACTAAAATAATATTGACATCGACATACCGACGATATTAATATACGATAACA